TATCTCTACGGAAGTAGATTGCCCAATCTTCCTTCTAAGGAGTGGCTGGTGGGTTTGAACTGCCATTCTTCTGGTTAGCAGTCAAATGCCTTAGGCACTTTATATTGTTTTTCTAATTGGATCTTCCAATTTACTGGAGTAACTCCTTAAATGAACCTATAATTTTTTTTTTTTTTTACCATTTTTCACTATTATAAGTAACGTTGTAATTGCTTTTTTTAGATACAACTTACATGTTTCTGATTTGCTTCCTGAGACTAAATTCTCGGATGTAGAATTACTAAGTGAAAGAGTAGGAACAGTTTTAAAGCCCTTGATACTGAATAATTGTTTTTCATAGGGTTCTAACATTTCATATTTTCACTAGTATTCTATGAGAGTACTGTTTTGGGAGAATTAAAGAAAAACCTAAGTCTGTTATTTTGATTGGTTAAAAATGGTATTGGTCATTTTAATTTGCTTTGTTTATAAAAGTAGGTTGAAATGTTCTTTGAAAGACCCCTTATGGTATCTCTTGTGACATGATAATATTTCAACAAAAATTTCAGAATGAGTTTTCTTTGAAGTGCACTTCAATGTTTTGTATTCTGGAGCTTTCCATTCACGATTCATGGCTCTTACTCTCTTAGTTAGGAAACTAGATCTTTGCTCTGTGTGTTCCCCGGTTTGCTAGGCAGCCTCAGACAGGTTTTTCAGGTCTGCCACAGTTCACATGTTGAGTAGATTTGATCAGAAAGTAGAAACAGGGCAGTAGTTCTTGGCATGCGGAGGTACCCTGTGACCAGGTAGCCTTCCATAATCAAACAGAGAGTTGGGACATTTTTCAGGTATCAGAAAGGACTTTTTCCTAGGGCAGGTGAAAACATACTCACTAGCAAAGTAGGTCTTCAGTCTACCTGAATCTGAGAGGAATTGTTAAGGGAGACATTGATTAAATTAAGAAAGCCATTTAAAAAGACAAAAGAAGCTGAAACTGCAGATAAGGGTGTGGAGAGAAGAGGTGGTGAGGGCCCCAGGAGCATCCTCCTGGGCTGGCGCGGCCGCCACCATTCGTTCCGCTGCAGAATGCAGAAACAAGCACTGCCTTTAGTGGGCCTGCTGCTCAGGACGGTAGGCTCATTCTTTTTTTTTCATTGTGATTTGGGTGAAAGTTTACAGAGCAAATTCCTTTTCCATAGAGCAGTTCATGCATATTTTGTTCCACGACATTGATTGTAATTCCCCACAGTGTAACAGCTCTCTTCCCACTTCCTCCCCATAGTTACCTCTTTCCTGTGTCCTTCCCTCACATGCACTACCCCCTTCCTCAGCCATTTCCTTGTGCACACACTGCCCTTCTGTTCTCCTAAGATTGATTGCTCCAGGGAATGTATCTGCTTGATGTAAATATCCTATGTACCTGTCGGTTTTTTGGCTGGAAGCCACAGGAGTGAGTTCAGTTCTAGGCCTGAGGGGAAACTAGGGGCCAT